TAAATTAACACTTTTCGTTATTCTTTTACGAATTAGAAATAAATACTATATATAGTCTCATAGAAACTTTAGAACATTTTTAAATTACTTAGTATAATGCAATTCAAACAAATCATATCTGATATACTATAAAGTTGATATGAGACTATGGTATTTATATCTAAATAGTATCTAACAAGGTATTAATCAGTTACTACAAACCAGGCATGTCTTTAAAAAATGGACAATTACAAAAATGCCACTTTTTGTGTGCACATTTGCAAGAATGTCATTTAGAGGTGTCCATTTGCAAAAATTACCACTAATTATAGATTTACGAGAAATTTTAAAAAACGCCACTTTTCAAGTGCCACTTTATAAAAATGCCATTTTTTCAAAAAAAAAAATTTATATATTTGGGTTAATTATGTTCTATTAGGATTTAGTTATGAGGGTTTAGGAGGTTTTAGGGATCAAAACATTTTTTAGGGTTTAGAATTTTAAGATATAGGCTTTATAAATCTATAATTAGTGGCATTTTTGCAAATAGACACTCCTAAGTGGTATTCTTGCAAATATGCACACAAAATGTGGTATTTTTGTAATTGCTCCTAGATTTATAAAGCATATATCTTAAAATTCTAAATCCTAAAAAATGTTTTGACCACTAAAACCCCCTAAACCCTCATAACTAAATCCTAATAGAACATAATTAACTCAAACATAAATGATATAAATAAAAAATAATATTGAAAAAGTGGCATTTTTGTAAAGATTTCAAAAGTATGACATTTTTATAAAGTGGCACTTGAAAAAATGGCATTTTTTGAAATTTCTCTTAAAAATTAAAACTTTTTATTTTATCTATCATTTAAAGACAAAATACTCTTATTATAAAACACCATAAACCCCAATGATTCCTTCTCAACAAGGCACATAATTAATCAATCAATAAAACTATGCACATGCATGGCATGATTAGAAAATGAAACTTCGTACAAACTTCCTAATATTATCCTCCTACTAAAAGAACACAATAATCTCTAAGAAACCCAAAAATCACATAAAAACCCAATACCAAAAATTGCATACAAAACCAGAGATAGATAGTCGAATAAAGAGACATATTATTATTCTCTGTAATCTAAGAATAATCTAAAAAGTGGGAGAAATTGTAGCCGTTAAAAGAGATCTAGAAAGCAAAAAAATGTGTCCGTTTGGAGTGTAACTAACGTGCATAATAATAACCTGGGGACCTGCAATCTTAACACGATCTCCTTTGTCTATGAATATGATTGACTCTAATAGTCGTTGGTCAACAGCAATAGTCATGCATAATACTTCCTATGTATGATGTTTAAAATTTTGTACATATTAAAAAAACATAATAAATTTGACTTTGATATTGTTATGGCATTATATGGTTGTCAATATGAAAATGATGATATGTATGACTTCAATGTCCCCACTTCGTGCCGATCTTTTAGACTTGTGAGATGGGATAATTAAAGCTAGAGATTTATTTGCCTACTTGAGATATTATAGTAGTAATTTTCCAAAAGGGAAATTCAAAACGATTAGTGGATAAACTTATTTCTTATCGTACTATTTCAACCGACAAAAATATATTTTTTAACTATTTCAAACATTTAGATAATTTTGTTGGATAATTTTTTTTTCCCCAAACATAACAACCATTAGTTTTGTTTTTTTTATATACCATTAAAATTTTTAGCTTTCCACAATACTTCAAAACTAAAATTACAAAACCTTCAAAACTAAATCCTAAATTACAAACCTAACTTTGATCAAAAAAAAAAAATTACAAAACCAACCATAATCCTTTAAACTAAATCATAAATCTAAATAGTTAACCTAAAACCCAAAAAAAATATTATACATTTTTTTAGTGTTTGTGGTATTT